GGGGGGGGGGGAAGATTTACGTAGCCAATTACGATTCTATTAAGGATCGTATTTATCCGATACGGTTCGCGGTGAAAAAGCGCAGCCCGTGTTACTCTTCTTTCGAAGGGAAAAAAGTCTCTCGACTCGACTCCGGTAGGATGCAGGTGCATACTACTATCGTATCGGCTCGCTGTGGCGAGATAAATCTGTTGGCGCGCTCTCGGTTAAAGTGAAAGTTCCCTTTATCCCGTGGATCTGCCGCTAAATCGAGCGATCGGCTTGCATTTGGAAAGCGAAAGACGAGTACGAAAGAAAAGTATATGTATATACGTAATTACTTCTTGCATAAAATCCGCTCCCATCACGTCGCTACCGACGTTGGAGAACTTGTGCTGACCATGTATCGCTTGATAGGCGGATGTGGTCAGCACCAGGATCTCGTGCCACTTGTGGGTGAGCAACGTCGTGTGAACTTCGACCGGTAGCTCAAGGTAGAACGGTAACCTCTTGGTCCACTGCACCAACTTGTACACTATGCTGTCTCCTATCTGACACAGCTTGTCGCTTAAGTTTGATTTATGGTCCAGTAGCTCGTCCAAGTTCTGGAAATGCAAGACACAAGGCGCGAACACGGTGTGAAATTTCTGACAACGGGCTCAGACAACGGGCAGACATACAGGGATCTAAAGAGCAAATATGTAGCGAACGAAACGTACCCTCAATGTAGCGATGTCTTGGAACTCGTCGCAGTCTATCAAGGACTGGATCATAGCAACGGTTGCGTCGAAGGGAAAAGATCGATCCCTGGAACTGCTGACTGTGTTGTCTAACCTCTGCCGTAAATGTACCACCTTGAACACAGTAAAATTGTCCCCCTCAAACGATTTGCATCATTATCCATCCCTTTCTCCGAGCGTTAGCACTTTGCTTTGCTCGGAAAAATTGTGCCACTGCCTTCGTGTTACGCGATTAATCCTTTAACCGCGTATGACGAATTAACTCTCGTTCGCGAATGCGTTCAAATCAGTTATTAAAGGGTTAAGAAATTGTGCATTCGTGACATGAAGAATGCGCGCATCTTTTTGAACTGACTCGAGAAATTGCAGTTTCGCTCGTTTGAACTATTCGATCCCGTGCAGAATTAGTCGCGTTGTTTCAAGAAGTAATTTATTTCAGTTACAAAGTAGATAGACCGATTATTAAGTAAGGCAATCTTTCTTCGCTGCGTTCAATGTCAGAAACAAGGAATAATATCTTCCGTGTCTGCCACGGACTTTCATCTCCAAAGATAAGCTGAATGGAAGATTTATATCGTTGGAAATTTAACAGAAATGAATCGACAACTCGCAACACAATTGGGAGAAATGAAAGTAAAGAGAAGATAAAGTAAAGTGAAGATAAACTTAAGCGATTAGATTTTAGTTCAATTTTATTCTGTACGTCGAACGAACAAAATTTTACTTATTTCTTGTCGTTATTTCAAAATGAAACGAAATGCGTATTTTATTAATTTATTTATTTAGTTCTAACTTGTTAGTCCCATGCAACGCGAAAATTCGTATATATATGGTATCTCGCGTCGCAAGGGAGGTTCGTCGGATCACTGAAAAAAAAAAAAAAAAAAAAAAAACAGGAAGCAGAAGCTGTGGTGATTTCGATCGGCCAGTGGTAGAATCGCGAGACAGTGCTTCCTACGTGAATCCGATCCGGCCTTTCACTGACCTTTCGATCCTCGTCGAGGTACTTCCTCGAGGTCGGTATTCGGCGGGACGACGTGTATAAGCGCGGAGATTGGCGCGAGAGGTTCTCGCTCGCGGAGGGAAAGCCGCGATCCTCGCCTCCGCTCCGCCGTGTACCCTTTCACAGTTTCGTGCATATTGACAAACGTACGTCGCGCAGCCGTGGGACACGCGTTCTCGTTGCTGACGGCGATCTCGCGGCTGCGACGAAGAAGGAGGAGGAGGAGGAGGAGGTGTTGGAGGAGGAAGAGAAGGAGGTAGGGTGAGGTCAGTGTCCCTTGTGCAGACTTTCACGAGTTACGAAACCGGCGGAGAACTGCCCGTCCTTGGCACCGGCTGTCGCTGATTTTCTATTGTCCCTACCTTCGAATCCTCGTCGTCGTTGTGACACCTCAAAACTCTAGATATCATAAACATCATAAATCCTCACCCGTCATTGGATGTGTGACACCTCAAAATTCCAGATATCATAAACATCATAAATCCTCACCCTTCATACCGATGCAGGTCAGACTTCATCTTTAGTCACCAACAGCGATAATCTTTAGTATAAGTAGAGGCTCCTCAGTCTTGATACAGTTTTGAAACTATCTTTGATCAGTTTGATTCAGTATTTGCCTCCATGTTGTAATCATTTGTGTATAAATAAAGTCGCTCGAACAGCTTTGGCTAATCGACATTCTTTTTATATCAAAAGTGTCGTTTATTACGTGACATCGTCGCGTTGCACCGATGCAAGACTGACGTATCTTCTCGTATCGATTATTGTACCGTTGACCGACTGAATCGATCTTGTCTCTCGTTTATTAGCAACCTCTGTGAAATTCCAAGTCTGACTAAGGAGAGCCGTTGCAATCCAAGGTTGCGAATAGCTAACAGTAGGTCCAATTTCCTCGAACGACGAGCACGTTTTTCTCTTTGTTAGTGCGCCACGCATCACCGATTTCGCGATGCTCGGTTTCGATTATAGCGCCACGTCAGTCGTAGTCGAAGTTTATTATTCTACACTAGAACTATCGGCCATTAAAACTAAAATTCCCATCGAGAGATGTTGAAAGTAAAGCGAGCTTTTGTTTTATACATCTTACGAAAATAAATCGTTCATTTGAAATTTATTAAAATTCATTTAAATCTGTAAAATATACAATAAAAATTAGGAATTCCGACCATTTTGACAGTTCTAGTGGCCAAAACCTCAAACCATGTGTATAAATAAGCAATTTTTACTTTTATTGTTTATTTCTGTTACGTTGTCAAACACGGTTTTTTCACCCTTTGTCGACATTACGAAGCATCATCACTTCATATAAAATGATTTGCTCATTGGAAATAATTATTCAAATGGTATTTAATGGTATGAAATTTTGTTTGATATCTGATATCTTTCTAACGCGTGTGATATCGTTTAAATTTAAAGCAATCATCAACGTGCGCTGTGGGTTTGCTAGAACAAGTATAATAGTTTCAATCTCGGGGGGGAAAAATAATATCCTCCGCCATTCTTTAAACTTTCGTACGAAGCAATAAGAAGTCCAGTTTCATGTGAATTATGTGAATTATTCTAATGAGCGTTAATTCGATTAACAATTCTTTAGAAATTTCTTCTTCTGAAATTTTCGTCGTTATTGTAGCTTTCACTCTACACCAAACGTACACGTTCGTTATTTAATTATCATCGAATTATAAAAAGGAGGAAGTCCCCTCAGAAAAGAGGAAAATCCACGGATAACAGCTAGTTGTCGTAGGATCGCGCTTCTCGTTCAGTTCTGGAGATCTGCAGTTCCTGTTTTTCCGCAGGAAGACGTACGATCCGGATCTTCGTATCTGCGTATCGAAACTCTGGCCATTGGGTTTGTTCTCTCGAGGTGGGGAACTTTTGAAATTCGCGAGTACGTGGGCTGCGTCGCCTTTGCGAGCGAGCGAGCGAGCGAGCGAGCACGCAACGATTCGCCCAGAAATGGAAAGTGACCTCCTTAAAACGCGCTCCACGCGATCGCACCACGACAATATTTTATCCGATACACCGGCAGTATCATCGATTTCACTTTTGGCAATGGCCTCTACCGGTTCCCGGTAATTCTTCTCGTTGTTTGCATACCGCACACGTGCTCCGTGAAACGTAACGCACAGCTGTCGCTCGAACATCCTCGATCGGCAGTCGATCGTTCACCGAACTGCATAGTACATCCTCTCGCGTGCGTGAATGCGCTCTCGACAACGCATCACGTCCAGGCGACGAGTCAAAACGATCTGATTATTCCGGGGTTTTGTCGGTATCGATCGTGAAATCTGGCGATTCGCGAAAAACCGCAAGAGCGCAGAATGTCGACGAACGTCGGCACCGATCCACCGTTACAATCGCTTCATTTTCAGCGAAATACCATTATTGTTTGCGATCAACGGTGTATCGTTGAATGGTTCCATTTCGAACAAGAGAGAGAGAGAGAGAGAGAGAGAGAGAGAGAG